GATTCATGTCAACAATGATGAGATCACAGGAATTTATTTTACTCAAGAAACTGATCGGAATTAGCGCTCTTACTTAGTGAATTAAAATTTTATTATATCTGCTTAGTTAACTGACGAAAGTGATTTTTGGGAAACAACGAAACTCAAGTTAATCCAGATTTCTACTATCGAACAGCGACTTCTTGTATTCTTTTATAAGGTATCCCTATATTTTTTCAGTTTTATCGTGCTGGGATCAATGCATGCATAACAAATTTGTTCTGCATACATTCTCTTAAAGTCTTGAGTGGAATCAAATTTGAATGGGCGATTTACTTTTTTTGGCTTTAATTATAGCACTAATTGTATTTGCGAAGATGTGCAACTAGTGTTTCCCATTTGGTTAAAGAAAAACCGCTTGCAGCTAGACGTGCACCAATTTCAATTCGAGTTGGTTCCAATTCCTAGAATTGACTGTAATTGGAACTATAATTGACAAAAAATTAGGACCAAATTGGAATTGACCTATAACTTTTATGCTCAAACGATTATTTTTCAAACCTCGGTATTGTAGAATCAGTGAAATCGAGTTTTGTTGGTGCTGTAATACCGAGGTTTGAGAAATTGTCTTTATAATTAGGTTTTCTGTGAGGATAAAATGTATAGGTCAATTCCTATTTCAATTCTCGTCAATTTAAACTTGGAATCGGTTGGACTCGAAATTGGTGCATTCCTACTTGCAGCCATTTTTTTCAATAACTGCCAGTTACTTTGTCCTGAGAAAAAGTCAGCGATGCACTGGTCAGTAGAAGGTTATGGCTCATAACTGAGTTGCTAACGTCGACGGTGTCGTCGTCACGTGTTGCTTAAATAATTCAACCTACAGACACTTTATAAATCATTTCAGTTAGATCCAAGAGACAGAAATATGATCTGAACTCTGTTTATTATTATTATCCTTATCTATGATCTGCAACACTCAACGTTCTCAATAGATATTTTTAGAACTATTGAATACAAAATTTGTACTTCAATAACAACGGTTTAATGGCAGCAATGTCCGAATTGAGCAAACCACAATCTTCTGGTGAACCATCTGATTACAAAAGAAAAATTATTATAGAAGATTTGACCGATAATGACCAAAGATTAGATTTATATACATATTTATCAAAATTTGGAACGCTAAAAAGCTGTGACATGCCAAAAGGTAAGAAGTTATAATAGTTGGTGTACGAACCGTTTCTGATTTGTCAAATAGCTAGGTTTCGTTTATATACAGTGTAACTAACAATATCACAGGCGCGAGACTATCGATCAACATTATCTCTATTTTTTGGTCATTATCATGGTCACGACGATCACGGTTGTGACCATGACCGTGCCCGTGAGTCATATCAGTCGCGTGGATCTCTACTCAAGACGTGTTGTTTTTTCAAAGTACCTACATCGACACCCCCAGACACGAATGCTAAATACATCCGCTAAACCACACGGGTAACCGCGTGTGTTTTTATTTCATACGCTGGTCACGCCGGTTCATGCGAATAACAGACCGGTTCTCGCCGGTTGAGCACCGAAAAATGGCCGGTTTCAGTCGGTTCTTTATTATGAAACAGCGGTTGTCGGCGGATCACCATTTTTTATCCTTTTTTGTAAAACTAGTATAAGCGGTCATGACTGCGGTTGACGAGGGTTGTCCAAAACGAACATACAGATATCTGCGGTTGAGTGTGGTTTAAATTTAAAATGCATTTTTATGTCAAAAGTTACATCCGCGGTTGACGGCGGTTGCCAGAAAAAGTGCCAATTGAATAGTCAAACTACGGCGGTTCAACGCGGTTTGGATATAAAGGAGATATAATGGCACGAGAAAGACCTACGGTTGTTGGCGGTTCTGACTCCGGAGCAATGCGGTTGAGAACTAAATGAAATGAACTTCATAGCGGGTGGGAGTTAAAAACAGTGGTTGCGGGCGGTTCTCAATTTCCAGATACGAATGTAGACCCGCTAAACCTCACGTGAAATCGCGTGTGTTTTTGTTTTATACGTGAGTCAAACCGGTTCATGCGAATAACAAACCGGTTCTCGCCGGTTTCAGTCGATTCTTAATTAAAAAATCGCGGTTGTCGGAGGATCACGATTTTTTTATCTTTTTTTTATAAAACTAACACAAGCAGTTCTCAGAGGTCATGCTTGCGATTGATGGGGGTTGTCCAGGAAGGATATACAGATCTCGGCGGATGCCTCTGAAATATCTGCGGTTGAGTGCGGTTTAAATTTAAGAGATTTCGGAAACTGCCTTTGTCATCGCATGTTATTCAAACGACTGCGGTTGAAGGCGATTGTGAGTTAAAGCTTTATGATAGCACTTGAATATTTGATATGATCTACAACTGTATAAGCGGTTCGATGCGGGTCTGTTTTGAAAAGACAGCGGTTGAGTGAGGTTTTTTGAAAAACGACGACGTTTTCTCTACAAAACTGTTTGGGATATAGACGGTTCACAGCGGCTTTTTGCAAGAACAGAAATATTAAAAGAAGTAATTTATTAATTATTTCCGGTAAGGCAACCTTCTACGTATACAGTTCATTTCAAACTGTGCTAGGATCTCATGATGAGTGTGTACCCGAGAATACTAATACTTCGAACAATCGGATTACTAATACGGCGGAATCAGAATAGAACCTTGCCGCGGAGACCCTATATATCTACCGTATTGACCGAACAGATCATTGCTACACTTCACAAGCCACAAACGTAAAAGGAGTCGAAGTACACAATTACGCCGAGGTTCAATTACATTTGTATTACATGCGAATCCGTAATACATTCTATCACTCTCTACTAATTTCTTATATATTGATATTTGCACTAGTGGGAAGAAAAGGTGACTGGCTTCTCGCTTTCCATGAGCCAGCGCCATCTATCGACTATAAATAAATAAAAGTGAAATTTTGTTCGAACACTCAAATCTATTTTAATTCGTTTTAAACAGCAGATGTCTTAAATAAACAGTATCTTTTAAGGGTAGTTTCACTTCTATCAAGCCTAAAATAACCAAGCGTAATAACCTCTTCAGAAACAGTGGGTTTCGGCGGGTGGTTTTTTCTTCGAGAAATAACCGCGGGTTACTGCGGTTGGGTGCGCAGCAACTCATTCACCGAGTTGTTTTGCGACACTATTAGTTATATTAAATGCAAGTATTGTTCAGTTGACATATAATTTTGAACTTTTATAATTTCTGTGAAGTCAAAGTAATGAATCAGAGAAAATGGTTATCAGGAAATCAGTAACGCTCCCTTTTTAAAAAAGGCAATGTGCAGAGCTAGGTCTCTCTCAAAATAGAGAGAGACCAAAGCTCAAACCCAAGAACATTACACCCGCGGTTTTCGTCGGTTTTGAGCGTGCTTGTTCTCTTTAGCTTAAAGCAAACTTTAGAAGAGAAAATCATCTTGACAGGCTTTTCTAGCCAAAAATAGCCGACAAGGACCGCAAATTACGTTCAAAACTATCCGTCTTTATCTGCGGTTTTCTCCAAAAGGAAGCGATATAATTCCTCCCTTTTTATAATAACCACCCTTGCAAAGCGGTTTTTTACAGTCTAAAACCGACGAGAGCCCCGGTTTTCGAAAAATATAACCGGCGAGAAAAGAGAGCGATTATCTACAGTCGGGCACCCGCCGATCTAAGCGGTTTTTAATAAAATATAACTGACGAGAACCGCTGTTATACCCGCAGCGATTCAGAAAAATATAAAAAAGACATCCGCAGTTTTTATCCGAGAGACCGGTTATTGTGTCGCAAACCGTCGGTTTTGACCAGTTTTTCTGCTTGAAACTGAACCAGTGTGACCCGTATTTTCGACCGGTTTTTATATGAATTTTCATGTACGGGCCTAAATTTTTCTCGCCACTCACACTGAATTGTTTCACGATTGAAATCTTCTTCTTCACAGATACAGATACAATGCGACGTGCTGTTATCGTATATCAAGAATTAAAATCGGTCGATAATCTAATGAAAAAGGAAAACCGTCCGCATATTCTGAATGATCATGTTATTTATATTTATCGAGAAATACGAGCAGCACCTAATTTGAAAAAGCTTAGAGCACAAAGAGACGTATGTACATTATCTCTTTGTGTGAAACCACCACACGTTATACCAGAAGATGAATTTAAACGTCACTTTGCTCACTATGGTGCGATTGTTGGTGTCGATAGAGCAGAAAATGATATAAAAATCACCTATGACGAGTAAGATTTTTGATACCACCGATCAAACTTTATTCTTAAAACCATCATTTTTAATTTTAGTTATGATCCTGTGGACAAAGCAATCCAAGACAATCCTCATGTTTTTGATAATATTCCATATAGTGTTGAAAAATATTCAGATTCAGCTACAATTAATAATAGTACAAATATATCGGGGACACCAACACCTAGTGAGTTGACGATTCGTCCAAGAAAACCTTCAGTTTTATTCTCTTGATTGTAAGTCGAGCGTCATACAATGAAAATATATTTGTGCGTATGTTTGCAGTTAAGAGTTGAGTAACTCTTCACATGAAAGAAAATTACATTCAAACGAATTCGATATTTTCTCAAGCTGCTGAAAACGTGTCCTCAAAGTTTGTGATCAAAAGCTTAAGACTTTTTTCTCAAAAGCTGAGTGTTCAAGAACGGATATAAGTCGACCTTTTTAGGCTGTTTCTTACTTGAAATAGTTTTATGCGACATTTTTTTGTCGGTTTTTGTTACTTAAGCCATATCCTTCGTGATGTTTGGTATGATTAGAATACTTAGTGTCGATATCTACGGAAGTGTTGTTCACATGTTCTCCTTTAACGCTTAAAAGCCATTGCACGGTATGGACGATCTAAGCTGCTCAATAGACGTCTGAGTTTTTTGTCCATACTTACACAGTAGGTAACAGCGGCATACTTTGGAAAATTCCCGAAACCTTTTAGCCTGGACTTACTTCAAAATTTATGGAATTTTTCGTAAAAGCCCNGGTATGATTAGAATACTTAGTGTCGATATCTACGGAAGTGTTGTTCACATGTTCTCCTTTAACGCTTAAAAGCCATTGCACGGTATGGACGATCTAAGCTGCTCAATAGACGTCTGAGTTTTTTGTCCATACTTACACAGTAGGTAACAGCGGCATACTTTGGAAAATTCCCGAAACCTTTTAGCCTGGACTTACTTCAAAATTTATGGAATTTTTCGTAAAAGCCCACAAACAGGCTGAAACGATAACTATATAAAAGTGAAATTTCTATTGTTTATATCTTGGTCTAGGAAGTAGATCAGCAGTTCACATTTGGAGCATAAGTAGTCGAGGTCGAGTACTATCTATAGCTAAGAGCATGCGCACAAATAACTGTCTCACATGTGCGAAGATATGCGCACAACAAGGAGGAAGTTACTAGCGAGAAGACTCTCACATAATTTTTTTTACCTGAAAATCATGTTATTGCATGTTTTTGATTTGATACCTATTCGTTAATTAGTAGTTTAGAACGACTTCTGAATTTGAGTCTGTTTGCACTCGATGTGACTGATTTCAAAACATTTCAGTGGTACCAATTCAAGACTTCATTTCATAAAGAAAAAAATTGTAAAGCCAAACTAATTCAACATAATGTTTGAAATCAATAATTATTTCATTTGTATGCCGCAATTGTAGGCATGCACTTTGTGGATATAGAACAAAATTACTTGTAATTACTTTTTAATTTTGTGTTTTTATCAATTAGACTTTCAAGAACAAGCTGCATCAGAACATCAGAAGAGTAAATCCGCACTCGTAAATCTAAGTAATAATCAATCAAATGTAGATCCACCACGTTCCACGGGATCACTTGACGGTACGAAAGACTTATTACACTCTGATCTAAATAATCGTAGGCAAATTACAAGTCCAGTCACTGTCATAGATGACCGATCACTTGGAAATGATGGTCGATTATTTGAGCATGCTATCAAAGGCATGAAGGAACAAGGTAAGAAGATTGAAGGTATATTTCCTAGAAAATGGATTACTAAATTCTGACATAACTGTCACACTACTTCTTCCTTCCTGCGAAATATTCACCAGACATCCTGTTGAATATGTTATTAATTCATTAATTGAAGTACTCTTTCATAAAGCGTAGCTATCTCATGCGGGATAAACTTGCAGCAGATCGCTATAATTTTAATTTTATTTACATTTTCTTTTTTTAAGCAAATCCTGACTTACCAAACGATGTTCCAACGGAATGGAACTCTAGAAATTTGCAATCGGGAGAAGCTGGTGGTCAGGGCGAAGTACGCATAATATACTACAGAAACAACCCAATGCAATTAGCAGCGATAAAAATTTATTCATCTGAAGCTAAGACTAAAAAAAATAACAAAGGACTAGATGATTATTTCAAAGAGCGAAGAATGCGTGCTCATCGCGAATTGGTTGCTTTAAAGGCACTGCAAGGTAAGTATTCTCAACAATTTTTCTTTATAGTTTATATATAACTTACATATATTGCACTCGATTAGGTGTAAAAAATGTTAGTAAACTAACGACTTATACGAATGATTATACAAACATACCGGACACTCAGGAAGATGCTATAGCTGGGCAGAAAACTTATTGGACAATTATGTGTTATATTGATGGGCGCACTTTAGAACAGTTTATGGAAACATACGGAACAATTGATTTGCTGAATGCGGTTAAATTAACTCAAAAACTGCTTTTAACTATTAAAAACATTCATGCCAGTGGTGTTGTACATCGTGACATAAAACCGAGTAATCTATTAGTTGTTTGTGATAAAAATGCAACAATTGAAACGGCTAAAATTCATGTTATTGATTTTGGATTATCATATATTGAAAATCGTGAAGATGATGTTGACTGGTCTTCATTTGAAGAAAAAGAGAAATTTCAACAAACACATTTCGGTGCCACCATAGGTAATGCTTTTTTTCGCGTTCCACAACTGAATTCAGCGGCATGGAAGAATAAGACACATAAAGAACAGAATGTATTGTTACATGTTCGTCGTAGCCCAACAATTGATGCTTCAAGTGTGTGTGCAATATTATTTTGGCTGTTAACTGACATTGAACCAGGACTGAAACATCGTGACGAATCAAATTTGGCACCGCATCAAAATGAAGAGGCTAAGATGAAAATTATGATGAAAATAGATGAAGCTGTGAATCAAATAGGTGGGTAAAATTACTGCAGTAAACCCTTTCTGAAGTTAATATCGAGCGTTAAGGATTGAGTCCACTATGGATCGCTGATCTTACTGTCATTAAACGTGAAACCAGAAGAAGTCTCGTTACTCTCACAAGAGAACCGTTCGAAGTGATCCCAAGTTTTTGATCTGATATTTTACTCATAAGTAGAACCAGGTGATACTAGAAGGTATTCAAAAGGATGAAGGCCCGTGTACCTTCCTTCGAGACTTATGAAATTTTTACTGGGTTTCGCCCTGAGATTCTTTCGATATATAGATCACAATGTCCTTAGAATATTCTAAAAGTGTTAGCGCAAATGAATGTTCCTGCCTAGAGACAATGAATATTCAAGAAATCCCCATATTTCATGGAAACATGGGTATTTCTTATATATTTATTATTTCGGGACTGAAAGATTGGTTTGAACTGAAACTTTTAGGATATTCTAAGATCATTGTGATCTATAAAGGGTGTTCTAGAAGTTCTGAAGTAATTTTAAAATGCATCATTCTAAAATTACTTCAGAACTTCTAGAACACCCTTTATATCGAAAGAATCTCAGGGCGAAACCTAGTAAAACGGTCAGAAGTCTGGAAGGAAGGCACGTGGGTTCTTGTCTTTCTGAGTACCTTCTAGTCTCACCTGGTTCTACTTGCGGGCAAAATATCAAATCAAAAGCTTTAAATCACTTCGAACTGTTCGCGCATTAGCTAAGATCTCATACACAACTGTAATGAGTTAGTCGTATGCCAGGCGAATCCTAGGTTTTACGGTTTTCGCACCGAACCAGTTTGAGAGGGTGAGCAGCACTAGAGCAAGTCGGCTTGGCTCAACTAACACACTTCTTAGATCGTTCTTTAAGCACCTTATTATCGTTGTAGTTGACTTAAACTATCGACATTGTTTTATTGCAGGTATCTCCAAGAAATTGTTACCAGAATTAAGAACACAGTTAAAAAACTACGTTATGACAACCTTTGATAAAGGTTTTGAAAGTGCGGAATATCAGTGGACAGTGGAACAGTTAGAATATCGTTTAAAATCAATTTGTCACGTTCTCGAACAGGACATCATTCCACCAGATCAACATCTGAGTAGTATTACCAAGAGTTTGCTTTCACTTGAACCAGGTAGAAGACTTTCCAGCCCATACCCGACCAAATTGATATTTCATAAAGTTTCACTTGCATATGAATCTGCCAAAGCAAAATTTGTTGCACAACATTCACCATGTTCATGGTACGATGGTCATTGTCACTGGTTGGAATATCGACAAGATGTAACTGAACGTAGAAATTATGACTTATTGTCGTATCAACGAAATAAACAAAATTGGATGTTGATAATTGTTTGCTCTGTTCATTTTAACGAAAATGGTGACATAATTACATTAACAATTGGCAGTGATTTTAATGGCGTCTACGTTGAATTACCACTGGGTCAATATGCTCCTAAGGAATTAGATAATTTTAACATTGATATTAGTTTTGAAAGTGAGTTAATCAATCTCTTACAAGTGATATGTAAAACAAGACATACGGTAGACACAGAGTCTGTAGCTTCAGCAAATTAAGATCGATGAACAGAATTACTTAGGATTGATCAAAAGTTCTGATAACATTAAATAAAAATATAAAGATGCAGAGATATTTTTAATTTTATTTTATCAAATGTTCAGGATAGTTGCCATTATTATTTATATCCGCTTCAATTCTTTCTAACAGTTTGTTAAAAGTTTTTTAAAATTATTTTTCTAAAAAAGTTTTCGCTACCCTGGATACCGCATGAGATAATCATATTTCATTTATTTAATTAGTTAAACTACCTTCGATAGAATTAGTTAGCCAAAAATTACATCAGGTCTGGTCCCAAAAATTAATATCAAGTCTGGAGAATATAGTGGATACGACATTATAGTGATGCCTTCTTCTGTGGTATAATTAATAACATTGGATGAGTATGAAGTCAGATTTTGATCTAGTTTTTATCGTACAAGATCAGATCAACAGGAACAGCCCGATTATTCGTTTTACTGAACAATCAATTATTAGTGAAGTATACTGTTATTATTCATTCATTACTTATCAGGTTTGATTCAAAGTAACATCAGCTTTTGACATAGCCTATTAGCTCGAGGTAAGACCTAATATAATCATACGACGGTGGTGGTGCAAAAGTAAGACACCTGAGAACATATCTTTATCTGAATTCGATATGTCTCGGGAAATTACCTTAGATAAAGATAAGAAAATAGCTGCCCTAGTCGTCAATTCTTATATAAGAATTGGACGGGAATCTGGTAAGGATCTTGTCAGCTTCTTGTCTGCTTTTCCTAAGAATCTTATCCGATTCTTATCAGATTCGTATATAAGAAGTGGCACGAAAGTTGCACGAATTTCGTAAGAATCAGATAAGAATCGAGTAAGAATCTTATAAGAA